GCGCCATACTGAGTGGGGGTGGCTCGAGGACGGTCGAAATTCAGAGGAAATGATGGTGTGAAAAATGCGACCGTCGATATGCCACTGAATCTATCGGAAGAGAAAGTGGTGGATGAGGTGACAAGCGAGTTCGACTGATGAAGTCCGCGCCACTCCAGTCTGGAGCTATTCACCCAATCCGATGTGGTAGGCGGTGAGATCCAGCTCGCTTTGTATGTATGACGACGTGCTTTTTAACCCACTCTTCACCGAGTATTGGACTACTGCGTAGCTAGTAATTTATATGCTCAACTGTAATCCGATCTCGAATGGAGCTCCGGGGTGTAGCTTGCTAGCTACATATGTAGGTATGTAGGTAGCTAGGTAGCGCTCCTGCGCATCCAACGAGGACAGCCTTCTCAGGTCATCCTCTAGTAACCTTTGTCTCTTAGTGTTATAATAATCATGATACTCAACAATCCTGCTATTAGTACTATGGCAAAGACTATGGTTTTGCCAACCGTGCATAGTATGTTACTTGGTATTCGCATCTACTAATATTGCCTACCAGTTCACCGTTCCCCGAGGTTGATCCAAGAATCCCGGCTCAGACGGTCAGACTGTTGCGCGGTCATATGTCCTCGGACCAGGAAAGCCTATAATGTAAGATATAGAATGCCGGGCAACAATTTTCCTATCTGGCAACAAATTCTATTCGTGGGCGAGGATGAGCAACAATGTTGAAGAAATAGTCTGCCACGATATCGGCCAGATTGCGAGTGTGATTGATCAGCAAGCTCTTCGCGGTTTTATACGCAGAAAAATATCAATCAACTATAGCAGCACAGCCAGGAATGTGAGTAATAGTACGGAGTAAACATGTCGGGCTTCCCACAGTACTATGTATAATAATGTACGAAGGCCTACAGATAACTTTTCTATCTATAACTAGGCGTAAAAGTCTTGAATGTGTATCATGAATAACAGCCCCGGGTCATTGGCTCTCTGACTTTGCTTCATTAATGCTTACTGAATTCTCGAAGAATAAGAAAGAGGGGAGGATGGTGGGTGTTAACCATGTAATCATCGTCAATTGAGTATCAAATTAGTAGTGCACAGTGTAGTGGTTCCCCAGGTCAGAGAAGGGCTCGAAGTTAGCCGGCAATCCACCCCACAAACGGACGAGCTCTTCACAATTAGCACACAGCCTTCGTACAGCTTTCCAGGCCCATCCCGAGCCACCGTCTTCATATTTGCTGTGGAGCACGCCTTTCCTATGCACAGCTATTCCATAGAAAGCACCGGGTTGGTATTGCACCTATCTGCTTAGCTTTAGCACTATATGGATCCCACGGGTGAACTTACTTCAACGTGTGTAGTAAAGGATATACCTCGGCGCAGTTTCCGAACCAGATCCCTTTAGTGGAGGCAGGGCAATCGACCATGGTATACCCCTTTAATACCATATCCGCATCACTGATCAAAGAAAACCTTGCTTCTTTGACCGACTGCGTTCATGAGGCATTTGCTTGCTTCTATCGTCCAATCGATGCTCCTAGGAAGAAACGACCTCGGTCTTCACCCTCTGCTATCCAGGGTGCAATTGAACATCGCAGGACATGGTAGAGGACCCCCAAGCACTTTACACCACCGTCCGTACATGGCCACTAGCGAGGGGTAGAAAGTGCGCGAATTCGCACCAGCTGGTGCAATACCCATCGATGACAGAAGTAAGCCCAGTATATCACAGAGTCCCCGAAAGGGGATTCCATCATGCAGAAAGTCATCTTGAGGCAACTTTTATCCTTGGTTGGGTCGAGGGATCCGGGCCGGGGCTCAACGCACGTCCCGTTGGTTGAGTTGGCTCTGGTTCCGATGAGGCAAACATGCTACCTTGTTGGGGACTGCATAAAAATAAAATTAGTCAGAGCCCGGGATAGGCGTAAGAGATAAGCCCGGGCCGTACAGTAGCATGTCAATCTGAGCCACCATGGCTCTAAGAGCTGGAATTTGGTGGTCTTGGATATCATACAGATATCCATACGTGACAACATGGCTGAGTAATTTCATTAGCTAGGACTCAGAATAAGCGATAATCCTGCGCATGGGTCTTCTGGGAAGTGATATGAGTCTACTCACGGAATCCGCATTCCAGGCATAGGCCTCTCTTAGGTCAAGATGTCATTGAAGCCCTTCATAACTTCTTCTGCTTCTGCCATCTCATGAGATCAGAATGATCAACTCGATAGGGGTTGAGAGCCTTGTAACGGGGTTGATAGGTGTATATTGATGCGACGATTGTTGGTGACAAGTTAAAGTTCAGGTGGTGGCTCGCAGTGTGAGTATAGTAGGCTGATTCTGGATTCACCGAGAGGGAGCAATCCAGTGCCACGCGACGTTTATCGAGGGGACGGGCCTGGACGTTGTTAATTTCTCAGATGTAATGTCGTTGGCTGTTATTTTTATTACCCAAGGAAATGGACCCTTGCAAGGATCACCGAATAGGAGGCTACTGCGGGAGCAAGACATGACCTACTTCAGCAGGAAACGAAGACGCTGTGCTAATGAAATCACACCTCACTGGGGGTTCTAAATTCCTGAATCCGCCTCCGCAACGCGCGTGTACATCACCCAGCTGCTTATGTGCAATATCGAGGCGCCTTGTCTTATGATCAGCCTAGGCCTAGGATGATGGTAGGAAGAGGGATGCAGTACGAAAAAGGGATTTAATAGATATGTATATCCTCTTGATTAGTTTACGCTCTCTGGTCGAGTCTCACTAGTTTCCTCTCAAGACCGCCCCCCTCTCAAAAGAGAGTCTTTGCTCCGAGGTTTCCTAGTGCGCTTAATTCTCGAGACGGCACACCTAAAAAAACACACTCATGTCAACGTCTTCAGGGGACTTCCGGGTTAAGTAACTAACAAGATGGAAATGCTGACGTAATCAAATCAAATCAAACCGATTAACTAACTAAATAAAAGCAATCCCACTCACAATCACAAACCAGTTTCTTGACGATGATCCAACAGCGGTTGGCATTCTCTCTTTTACCTCTCTTTCCCCTATCTTTCTTCAACAACCTTAAACTTTCAGATACCAGCAGGACACAATACTCCAAAATAGGCTTGCTGTCCATATGATTTGGTGTGATTTTCGTACCCGTGGCGTGTACCGTTTCGAGAGTTCTAGAAGAGCAAAGGAGCTCCGCAAGAATCATCCTCCCAGAGAGGACATCTTTTCTCCGACTTTTCTCCTCGAACTGGAGCGCTGTTATCAGAGTCCACCGCTTGATCAATTTTGCTTTCGACAATCTGTTCTTCTCATCTCTGAAGTTGTCGTGCCCGACTCATTTGGCTACCTCTTCTCACTTCCTCGAGAACTGCGCAATAAGATTTACTTTCATGCTCTCACCCCTCCAACGCCTAGAGAGCTGATAATAAAACCGGCCGAGCCGAGTAGGCCACGGATATGGCTAGCTGAAATGCGCGTTCCTCTAAGGGGTAGTGACGAAAGCGACGACTGGTCTGGACGAGAGGAAATGACACGGCTTCTTCGAGTCAACCGCCAGGTGTATAAAGAAGCTTCTGCGGTCCTGTATTCAGATTTCCGGTTTGTTATATCACAAACCTTTATCAAGGTCTATCCTACTCTCCTTATGCAAACATTAAGGCGGGGCGTTGGTCAGTACATACGCAGACTAGGGATACCAATCCAGGTACAGCCTGGCTACTCTGCTGGAATACCATGGATGGAGAACTGGACAAAGAACTGTTCGGAACTTCTACAGAACTTACATACGCTGCGAGATGTTGAATTTCAGATCTTGATATGTGATTATCTGTGGGCAGATCCTGGGAAGAATCAATATATCAAAAATTATGAAGATGAGTGGGTGACTTCTCAATTGATAAGGAAAATCCAGCCATTCCGACACCTTCAGGTGACATTTATTAGCCACCCGGAAACCCTACGTTCTGACCTGATTCAAGAGGCGGGGGAAAGGATTCACTCTAACTCAGGATGAAATCTTCATGCATGTGATGGATCACATGTGGTGATGTCTGATGCCTGGTGTTGATGCCTGCTGCCGCAGACACCCCTCATGTATCTCTCTCGTTCTCTCGCGCCTTCTTCCTTCCTTATGCTCTAGATTGAAATGTCGGCCAGCTCCAAAGCGATCATGAGTAACGAGACAACTGTTACGAGCGGAGGCAGAAATATGTAAAGCGTTTACGAGAGAAGCGGTGTTTTTGTATTTATACTGCATGATATTGAAGCGTTTCTACCACTAGCACTACGCACTTTCAAAACCTTTGTCAGAATAGACACGTCCATCTCTCTGACCCACGTCAGCATCGGGTCGCCACGTTTCCGGGGAGCTATAGCAAACAAAGAACCCAGTCAGGAAACCTACTTCCCGGGCCCACTTCGCAGTCCGATTGGCAGATTAACTTGTCAAACGGAAGCATCGGCTCTCCCCAGAATATGACAGTTCCGTCAGAATGAGATGGTGCCAGAAAGATGTTCGTATGAATACCAAAGATCGGACTTTATCTTTTCTAGACACGACCCAAGATGATGTCCATATTTTAATACGCCTAGGTGGCGTTTGGCTCGCCTTATTAATCCAAAGATCCTCAGTCAGGTTTGGATTAGCGTTAGACGATATCTGGTACCAAGTTCTACTCCCAGACATGTTATTGCAGAAGGATGATGGAAGAGTAGGGGGTTTCGATGGGTATGGAGGAGCACTAACGTGGGAGTCTAGTCTCGTAGGACTCGGAATATCCTAAACCCTGCTCCGGGTCTTCGCCGATCCTACTGCGTTCCGACTCCTGCGTCACTCGTTTACCGATTATGTTGTTTCCTCTTCAGTTCGTCATGTTTGCTGGCTTGCCCCGTATCTGGCTCTGAACGCAGCCGCCAAACAGTTGGATCTTCAAGCCTCCCAAGTAAAATTAACACGCCTTGAACATCTAGGAAAACGCCCAGTCTCAACCAGCAGAATCGGACATTCCATATGTCAACTACTGCCAAACATGTCAAGTGTGTCCTTAATTTTCCTCTCCACTTTTCTATTACTCACATGATAACCTAGGTGTGTCGTAGTCGGAGACAACGGAGCGGGCAAAACCACCCTGCTAATCCGATACACAACTGCCAGTTTCTGTCCGCCAGAGGAAGTTCCCACTATTTTTGACAATTATACTATAAAAGTCCGGTAAGTACTAGCTATACAGCGCAGCAACTTGTCAATGCCAATGAAACTCCAGAGTCCGTGACGAGTATTACGACCTTGCACTATGGGATACTTACAAGCCAGAGGAACATGACCGACTCCGGGCGCTATCATATCCAGGAACAGACGTGTTATTGGTATGCTTCTCTGTTATTAGTAGACACTCCTTTAACAACGTCGGGTGTTTTTGGTTAAGTGAGATCCAGCACTTCCTTCCCAGCGTCCCATGGCTATTGATTGGCACGCGGATTGATCAGAGAGGTCAATATGATACGGTCAACAACATTCCGTGGAACAGACCAGTGACTACCGGGGAGGCTATTCGTAAGGCGAAGAGATTGGGGGCATTCAAGTATATTGAATGTTCTTCACTAGAGAGAATCAATGTCGATGAGGTTTTTGAGCAGGTCAGTAACCGAGGATTTTAGATTCTACCGATCTAAACTAACACTTGGTTTTATACTACAGGCAATCATTGTTTCTCAGGTACCAAGCAAGCCTGAGAAGAATAAAAAGTCATGTATGGTTCTTTAACTCAAATGGGGTTGGCTTGTATATAATTCAGTCACAAAGAGCATCAATATAAGCCGTTCATATGGCAGTCGATTCCTTGGTCAGCCTCATTCTGGCATTCAAGAACCGTCGCTATTTAGGGACGCGATCTGAAAGTACAGATGAAAAAACAGAGTGAATTCCATGAAGGGTTGATAAATTTAACCATTTCTGAGCTCACTAGATTCTCTTTGTGAGACAGTGCTTGAGAGAAATCCTGCCTCGGGGGCTGGAACAGTGCGTGGCTATAAGTTTGTGGTATCTACTAGTAGGCATTGGGCGCATGGAACCAAGTCAAATCTTCGATCCGTGACATAGTGTCTGGGCGTCGACATATGTCGTTCGCAGAAAAGTCAAATTCACTACAAGCTCCGATATTAGACATAGATCTATGGTGGCGTTGCTCCGTGAGAGCCGGGTTTTTCATCCTCCACGTCGAAGTCGATCCTAAATTGCTTGGGTTGCGATGGTACCTTCTCAGTACTGCTTCGAGAATCGTCAGACTGGTGGGTAGATGATGGTTCAGATTCAGCATCCCACCAACCCATCGAGAACCGTTGGATCGTAAATACTCCTTAGTTTTGAAGCTCTTGTCATTGCACCACTCCGAGCCTTTAGGAATATACTTCGTCCAAGCGTCCTAGAGTCTTGCAACAAGCTAGCCACGGCTGCAATACTATTAGGGTTCTTTGGCAACGTCCATTTTGTCCGCATAGATGTTATAGCAACCAGAGCACATATGGCCATCCCTGCAAGGATACCATCCAGGATCCGCGTCGAGATCTCAGTCTGAATCAAATACGACCGGCCGTCATGTAGACGGCCTGGTGAACGGGTGCATGTGTTGTGTTAGGCCATACTGAACCCGTTGGATTCGGCACTCCCTGAAACGACTGACCCGCCGCGGTATTGATGATCTGGGTTACACTGATGCTCCAGATGTCACTGAAACGGGATATAAATGTGGCTGGGTTCCAGAGCTGTTCAAAGGGAACACCACCCGTGCCATTAACCATAGCTTCTATCAGGAAGCTTGAGAGTGACTGGTCTGGCAAGTCTCCCATTGCCGGTGGCGCTTTGGCAAGGTAATTCTCGAACTGGTCAAATTCCGGCCATGTGGAAATGCTCGTCCGGAAGGGTTCTTTGGCCGATCCATAAACGACTCTGGGCTCGAAATCGGGATCTAGTGAGAAAGACGGGACTTCAAACAGAATGTCGACATCCACTGTCTCGATAGATGCGTTACAAGCAATCAGATGATGGCGTGGATTGTCTCCACCGTACAAAATATAGTAAGTGGGACAACTCGTGGATGGCAGATCAACACCATGCGCGCCTCCTCCGCGCCATATCCGAGCATGAAGTTCCCTCTGAAATTGTCATCCTGCGAGAAGCATGAATCTGCTGAACACTCATATTCGTCCGCAGCATTTTTCGTGCAACTGAGACTTTTGTCTTCCAAACAGCTCAACCGTGGTCGCACTGCAGGAAGCCGGGCGGTCACAAACCCATGCTGGCTGTAGCATTTGGGTTCCTATTCTGGGCCGCGTTCTGAGTGCCATTGAGAGGAACCTGAGGAAAGGCAAGATCTCTGTACGTCCACTGAGGATATGACAAGTTCACGTATATGATCATGGCAGGAACAGTTTGCGTTTTGTAGTCCCCTTGAGCCCCTCTCCTTGGCGATGATCCAATGACAACACCGATACTCTGATATTCTAAATCTGCCTCGCAATCTGCCCCGAGAACGGACAGACATTGCGCGAGGGATTTATCCATCAGATGAACCGACCACACCCGTACATACCTCATTCATAGTATGCCTCGTATTCACCTTCTCCATCCAGAGTATCAAACAATGTAGGAACTATGTAAGGCCACCCATTCAGGAAGATGCCACTCATGACTGGATGACGCACGAACAGATTATGTGCAGCGTCGACATCCTCCTCTTCAAACGCGTCGTCTGAAAACTGGAGGCCCAAGAACTTTCGGAAGACATACTGGAAAACTTGTAAAGGAGGGGGCGGAGTCGGGTACAACTCTCCATAGCGATTGGGTTGACCGGATGACGAGTACATACCATCAAGGAAGAGGTCCATAAATCTGGACGAGGTATGCCATGTAGTGCTCTGCTTCTCCTGGACTAGCGGCGTTTTGAGCAGAAGCATCTGATGTGCATTCCGGGGATTGGCCGGCATAGTGATACGTTCAGGGTAGAATGACCCTAATGGTACAATCGTCACTCCTCGAGAGAATTCTCCCGCGTCTCCATGCTCTTTCTTGAAAATTCGTGAACCTCCCTGGTGATTCAAAAGAGTCATGGAGGACAAAAGGCATTGCACCATCACAGCGTGAAGTACTTTGGCATGATCCCGGTTAATTTGGCTTGGAGTTGCGTCCTCTGGATACATATCTAGTATCTTTGATTCACCTGATTCAAACTGTGGGTGGTGTTTGGTTTGTTGCCTTAAGAAGTCGGCCAGCTGCCCGTATATAGGGCTGTGGTCATCGTAGGCCTCAAAGTTAAAAACCGGGTATTTGAGTAGATATGCCATTTCTTCACTTTTCATCAGTGGTTCGTCTGGATCATCAAGCCGCATGTCGCAGTTTTCCAGAAAGGCCTCAGGAAGTTCATCTCTATTCGGTGGAGCTAAAGCCTCCTGGTAGGCCGGACACAAAACCGCACCCATCATTAATGATTGATACATTGAGCGACGGAAATTGTGCTTCCAAATGAACCATTCTGAAGGGCGGCTTTTCGGAATTAGCCTTTTTGATATTGTAATAACAATCTCGACCCCATTCGGTATTGTGCAAACAGATGTCTTCAATGCACCTGATCAAGTGCTCCCAATCAAGGATTTGTCGCACTTCGTCAGAAAATTGTTCCTGTACTTCTACACTTAATGAGAGCGGGAAAGGGTTCGGGGGAAACTGTCCTCTATGGAAGTGTTCTACCACAATGTTTGTCGCGCGTACCTGAGCGTGGTCTGCGTTAGTGAACCCATATTGCTGCGACATATAGCAAAGTGCGTAAATATGTCACTTACTGCCATCATGGCCTCGTTGAAGGCGGGGATATCACGCCGTCCGCACCGTCCTAAGACAGTGTACATGTGGGATGAATAGACGGAGTGAACTCGTTTGCATGTTGAAGCTAAGGCGATTGCCTGAGATACACTTTTGCAACTTTGGAGAACGAGGAGAAGACATTCGGTTGGAAGAGATGTAAGAGTAGGCATTTTGAAGATATCTGAAAGGAGATAGAGAAGAAGGAATAGCTCGGGTGCGGAACGGTGGGTCTTTAAGTATGCGCTACATTGATCCGTGAATTACACGAGTCTTGGCTGCAGATCAAACTAAGGCGCACCTGGGCATTAACAGAGGGTTACGTGACGGCGTATTGGGGCTCTAAGCCCAAAAGGGTAAAACTAACTGGAAAAGGCAATTCACAAGCCCTCAGTTTACATCTGTAATGCTTACGGATTTTAACCCCTCTGCAAGTCGCCAGGTCCTACTGTGATTTGGACCAAGGGCTTTCTCATAGCCTGCTAGTGCTCACTGGTACATCTCCTCTGCTTCCTTTAGCCCGCCCTAATTAGAGTAGAGATTCCTAAGGCTATTGACTATATTAAGAGTGGACGTATAATCTAGACCGAACGCTTTCTCCTTCCCAGCTAGCGCCCGCTAGCACATCTACTCCGTAGTAAGAAGAAGTATTTATTTTCGAAGTAGATTTATAATTAGTGAAGCTTAGTCGAGTCGACAAGGCGTAATATTGTATATAATATCGTTCTAGTAGAAGCGCTATTATACTAGCCGCGTGGTATAAGCAGCTAAAGAAGAGTATGGGAGGTTTATAAAACTAGGCGCGTCGTTATAATTTATAGACGTAGAGGCGTAATCAAAAGTATACCAGTAATACTTTACGTCGATATCCTTATTTACTGCTACTAATATCTAGTCGTGCATATAGTTATACATACTCTATAGACCTAACGTCTAGTGAACGTCTAGGAAATATTGTTCGGTTAGTGTTCCTATTATTCTATTAAAATTCATATTATCTGTGATCACTGCACGAAACCACTCGGGAGAACTATCGGAAAGTCCGGTATGAAAAAGCTCGTACCAAAGACTCTCCCCTATATCAACTCTCTGTGTCTTAATAGCCAGTTATTTATTGGATATGAGGTGTGCTTGAGGTAAGCAGTGTGCAATTCTTTTTCCCTAAGTGTATATAGGATCTCGGCGGGAATACTAACGTGCTATTATCGGCCCTCCTAGTGGTTATCTACACCATACCACGAGTGACTCCGATTCTGGCTCCACCTCAACAGCGACTATAGATGCCACTAGCCTCGCAGCAGTTCCAACTAATGCTCTAGATAGCAGTAACCACAACTGCAGCCTGTGGTATATGGTGAGTGGCCATTAATTTCTCACTTCCTACCATGGAAACAACCTGTAATGCCGTAGACAACCTAGAGCGGCTCCTCTAAAAAGACGGATTTACAAAGTGGGGCTTCGTGATCTATCGCTGCATATACTAAAACCAAAACGACTTGGAAAAATTCATAACTCGCTTCCTCGAGGCCGTCATAGAACGCCTTGAGTCCGATAGTAGTCTAGATATGCTAGACGGGTTTACCCCAACGGTCTTTGAAGACCCCTCATTTGATGGCGCGACCACCGCTATTCTCCGCGCCCATTTTAAGAAGTGGGCTGCGACTACACCGCTATAGGAACAAGTGTCAATATATGCGGATAGTCGGGTCGGTACCTTTTCTTCGTTATGGTTGATCAGGAGGCCCTAGAATCTGGCTTAAATGCGGTCCCGGATGCTATTGGGAAAACTGGGTTTGTTCGTCTCGTTTATGGAGAATGGGAGCCGGAGGTAGATGAAGATGGCAATGAGTCTATAGATCTCGAAGGAGAGCTTGAGCCCCTTGAAGGATGCATGTAGGAGGACGTTGGTTGGATGAAACTGCCTTACGATGAGGTGCAGGGGATTGGAGCCACGGCAATGTGTAATTGGCACGATTGGGATATGTATTATGCTCGTCCCCCGGAGATTCAGGGCTTGGCTTGAGCTTCGAGTGTGGGACAGGAGGTGGATATGGAAATTATTGGAATCGACTGTATATGGTGAGAGCTTGAACGTCATTGAACGCTGTATTCATATATCTCGGTACCTATATAGTTTCCTTCTAAAAGGGAGAGACTAGCAAATTATACATTTGTAGACTATGTAGGACGAGTTAGCGCCCTATAAACGAATAATCTATACCGTATTACTCTTCTAAAAGCCGTGCAACCTCCTTATAACGCCACCTACGCTAAGGGGCCGAATATTTCCGATCCTAAGAGTGGAATATGAAGTTAATAAGGGCTTAGTTTGCGACTGAAAAGTAATAGGGGGCGAATAGGGTAGTCGGCGAGTCCGATTACGCAGGCGAGATTGCAGGGGCGCAGTGATGAGTTTAAGATAGAGAGGTAGAAGAATGGAAAGGTGAGAGAAAGGGAGGAAGAACAGGGAAGAAGGGTCTTTTTATGCCGGAGGGCATTAAAGGGAGGTTACGTGACGGTGTATTGTGGCGCTAAACCCAAAACGGTGGAACTAACTCGAAAGGCAATTCACAGGTCCGCCGTTTAAATTGATTTCAAAATATCTCTGAATGACTTAGATCGGGTTATGACTAGTGAAAGGGATTGAATTCATATTAGATGCAAGAGGGCTAAAATAGTACGTCTATTCGAACTTGGGAGACTGGTTACGTTGGTTCTTGCAGCCTCCCATGCCTTTTGACCCTCGAGTTTGGTGGAAGAGGGTGAGATGGCATAGGACGTGTCAAAAAATGGAGGTCCGGGATGTCTGAGCATGTCGTATTTTGCACTGCCAAAATCTGTGTTCAAGATGGAGTCCAGTGACCGTTAGGTCGCTAGTTGATGATCAGATGGCGATTTTCTGGAAACGGCTGAAGCTCTCTGTAGGACCCAGTGTATCTCATCAGCGACGCGTTCTGGCTCTGTGATCTGAATATTATGGCCACTTTGAGTCGTGGTGGAGAAGCGCGCGTTACTCGACAGATTCAGGAGTTCGCGCTGAAAGGCCTCCTCACTAGCGTCCCAGCGCTCTAGGTAGTGACGAAAGGCCGCTCGCTCGGCTTCAGTCCCCAACCCTTCTGCCACGCCCCGGTGGTACATCCGCTCCTGGTCCTGATGCGAGTTTCCCCGGAGCACACTGAGCGGCTGGCCGCGGAGGGGGTCTCGCCCAGGGAGGAGTTGCTGTTTCTTGGCTAGGACGGCGCGGCTGATCTGCAGATAGGGCAGCTCGCGGGTGGCCTGTTGCGTGTGGTGTGGGCTAGCTTCCTCCGCCATAAGCTCTGCCCACTCGACCTCCGTCAGTCGATAATCGCGGGTCAGCCCGACGACTTCCATATAATCCAGCCCCGCCGTGACAGCTGCGATACAGGGATCGGGCCATGTCTCGAAGAGCATCCGCTCCTGTACGGCATCCACCAGCACCATCCCGCAGATCACCTCGGGCCCGCGGGCGGCAAGAAACTCCCGCGCGAGAATTCCGCCCCAGGAATGACCGACCACAAGGTACGGGGGTGGCAGGGCTGCGGTGGCGAGTAGCCGAGACAGCTCATCCACAATTGTTAGTGAGTCCGGCTCGGCGGTAGGGGATGCTTCGCTCTGACCGTAGCCAGTCCGCTCATACAGCAGCACGGATGCCTCATTCTCGAGATGTCGACACACCGCGCTCCATTCTAGCGCGCTGCTGATGATCCCGGTAAGAACCACCACAAGCGGAGCGCCGGGCTGCCGAGGAATACCTCGCAATGCGTAGCTCAAGGAGTGGGTTCCGATGTGGGCGGTATGTTGGAAGTGTTCCATGGTAGAAAGAAAAGGTTGGGGAAGGTTGGGAAGGCGAGGCAAATGCTGCACTCAAACACAGAGGAGAGCAGGAGGGGAAGGGGGGGCGGGGGGGAGAGTGTCTTATATGACGAAAAATTCCAAGTAATTAGTTAACTAGTTAGAGCACTAATACGGATGAGTCATACCACATAAAGCCCTGGAGCTCTCTACCCTAGGTATGAACGTGGAAAATATTATTAAAGCCGTCTGCTGGGAGCAGATGGAGTCGAGACACGATGGAGGGAGCGGATCGCTGATCCCAAGCTCCCTTGCTCTGGCGAAAACCCAGTGAATTCGGCTCTTGGTATTCGTACAGCCGGTACCACTTCCCTGAGCGCTCGGCCAACGATTGCATAGCGGTCATCCCGCACGTCCTACAACCCGAGGTGTCGGACGCGTGGCTTGGCCAAACGTTGCGGTCAGGCGCAGAGCATGACTCGGCCGACTCGAGCATTACTGTGGCCAACTTGTCCACAGGAAGCCAATCAAAAGAAAGGCCTTTTATAAAGGCCACAAAGAGCAAACAAGGCTCAGTGTGAAATGATGTGAATTTTGTTTAACATGTTGTGGTGGAAAATTTGATTTGCAAATTTTATATTGAAATAGTATAGCATTTTGCACCCACCCTTTTCACTCCATTCTATATCTTACAGCCATGTTCCGTATGTCAATTCAGAATTTCAAGCCTCGTGACGACCACTAAGGAAATACTTAAAGGGGTTAAAAGTGAGCCTGTCAGCTCAGAAGGGTAGAATGTGCATTGCCTAGTCAATGACAGCCTTGGGGTTGGGCGGCGGGAGGGAGGAGGCGAAGGAAGCGAGACCAAAAGCAATGCTGATTTTCGTTCTTTTCCAAAGTCTAGCGTGTTAGAGGGCATCGAACTGATGGGAAACAAGAGTGGTTTCATAAACTTGGGGTGATGTAACTCGAGAGATTTATCAAGAATGATAGGTAGGAAGAGAGTAACATAAGAGCAAGGGGAGTGTTAACTTGGCCTTAAAAAGGATTGGCAGTCAAATTGCACTAAAATGTCCGGCGTGCCAATGTCCAAGTCCGTTAAGTATTGAATGCGGCCAGGAGATCAGCTTCGAAATATTTTCCAACTTTGTATACGGAAATTCTGTCTAGCTATCTAATTGCAACTGGCCTGCAGCAGCTTCTTAGGTAGCACGCTGATCGTATTTCTCTCCCAGTCCCTTCAAGACGACCTTTACCAGACCTCCTAATGTACCTGCTCGGTTGATTTCCACCGTAGGAATCTCCACACCCAAAGACCTCCGCAGCCAATTCCTAACCTCTATGGCCATGAGAGAGTCGACTGCCATACCGGCCATTGCCTCAGTGTCATCTGCAGAATCCGGCCCTTGATCCTGCGTCTGTCCTGTAAGATTATGGCTGATAAATTTCCCTAGTTCTTTCAGCAACGCGACCTCAGTCTCTATCTTGCCCGTCAGCGAGGGATCTGCTTGTATCTGAGCTAGGAGAGCCTTTAATGCATTTGCATGGGAGGATTGATCCCCGCCAAGGCCGGCACTAGTGGACTCAAGGTTGGGATAAATCGAAAAGCGCGCGTCGCTTCCACCGAGGAAGACTTCCTTGGGGAGATCGGCGCGGCGTCTCGTGTGCGCGATTCCGATTGCCATTACCCCATTCGAGTCATAACCACCAAGCGAAGATATATTTATCGCTGTAGCGAGCCCATCAATCACTTCAGCTTCATGGAGTACATGTAGCGCGCTTGAGTGCACTCTCTGGAGGAACCGGGAGTTGCGACTTGCGGCACCCACATCTCCAACCACGCCGAGGTGCAAGATAGAAGAAGGGAGTCCTTGCTGCCGTCGATACCGGGTGAACGCTTCCAAAAATGTAGTTGCTGCAGCATAATTGGCCTGGCCACTGTTACCACATATCCCGGAAATCGAGCCAAACACGACGAAGAAATCGAGTGAGTGTTGCAATGTGGCATGATGCAGGTTCCAGGTTCCAGCGACTTTCGGAGCCAGCGCGCCCTCCCACTCCTCGTGGCTCATCTGCAAGAAGGGCCGATCCTAATATGACGTCAGATATCAGGTGCTGGGTTCGGCACGGCATTAGGGCGAGAAAGGGTGAGAAAGTCCTACCTTTAAGTCAACTGCCATTTGGAGGACACCAGCAAGGGGCCGCGTGCATTTGGCAACTGCCTCCTTTACATCTTTGGGATTTGTCACATTGCCTGGCACACAGGTAACTTGGCAACTTTGCGCCTCAAGTTCTTGAATAAATGCTTGATCCTCCTCAGATCTGCCAGCTGACCGCGAGAGGAAGACGAGCTCTCGCGTATTCTGCTCCACCATCCATGTTGACACGGATCGCCCAATCCCACCGAGTCCGCCAATGAGCAGATAAGCGGCGTCGGATCGGAATGACGGGAGTGTTTTCACGACAGGAGGAGGCAAACTTTCCACAGAGGATGGCATACGCACCACAATCTTGCCAAGGTGAGTGCCTGCCTGCATATACCTAAATGCACTGACAATATCGACCGCGTCAAATATTTTGACAGGGTGAATAGGTCCAATTTTCCCTTGGCGATACCAGTCTGAAAATGTTGCCAGGGTGCTGCGATGTGTTAGTTTGGCCTTTGTCTCCTGGAGGTCCATCTGGGACAAACCTTTTGAGAACCTCCGGAGTCTCCTTGCAAACATGTGCGAGATCAACGCCGAAGAAAGCTCGGTTGGCTTCGAAAAGGCTCATATTAAGCATTCCATGAGTTATGAAGTCGCGTTTCCCCAGTTCAACCATCCGTCCGAACTTCGCAACGCATTCCCACGAAGCGTGTAGTAAGTTACCCGACAACGAATTGAGCACTACATCCACTCCTCGTCCAGCGGTGGCACGCATCAGGTCTGGTTGGAAGGACGTATTACGAGAGTTGAAGATCCGTTCTCGGCGCAAACCAAAGTTCTCCATCAAATGGGCCACCTTTTTATCGTTGCCAACAGTGGCATAGATCTATATTGACTGATGATCAGCTCCCATAACCATACATTCACAGGGAATCAGCTGACCTCGGCACCAACAGCCTGGCATACTTGAAGAGCAGCTAGCCCAACCCCGCCGCATGCGGAGTGAATGAGAACAGACTGTTATCATGTCAGTTACCATCAATATCCGAAGGACACGAAGACTCGCCTGGCCTTTCCTCAAAGCACCAATTTCGAGTAGTGAATAGAGAACAGTGACATAGGCTGTTAACATAGTGGCAGCATCTGCCATTGACAATCCCTGCGGTAGCTTGAGACAAGCCTCTTGGGGCACCACAACATTTGAGGCTAGCACCCCAGAATGCATCAAGACGACACGATCTCCCACCATGATGTCCGTCACATCAGGGCCAACTTGAAGCACAATACCGCTGCCTTCGAGTCCTAAATCCTCTTTGTTCCCAAAAAAGCCCATTGCAACCATCATATCCTAGAATATATTGCTCAGCGAGCCATGCAAGATTAGTATGGAGCGAGCAAAACGTACCTTGAAATTGAGTCCAACGTAGTCCATCTCAACTTCAACCTGTCCCTCATTCAACTCATAGGATGCCTCTTTCTCGGCCCAGTGAAGTGTATCCAACAATCCGTATGTGGTGAGAGTTAGCTTTCGAGACGCCTCTGAACTAGGTGGACTTGACAGTTGCTCGACAAGAGGTGTCCAGTGGTACCGGCCGATCTTGATTTCGCCTTCATGAAATGTATACTCATACTCTGAATCAGGAAGGGAGTGAGCGCGCGATCTCTGTATCTTCTTGCACACTTGGATTACGGCCTTTGCGCCCTCCGTATCCCATGCCGGAACCTCCAAAACTGAGAGATCAAGCATCAGCTCCGCCCGTAAAGTGCGGGCTAGCCCATGGATTAAGCCAAACATCGGATCCGAGCAGGTGTGAGAGGTCGACTGCGTGACCCACAGGATTTGGCATTCTTGCGCTTGCTCTATGTATCGTTGGAATACCTCATAGTCACTCTTCGGCAGAGAGCCCATTGGGACCCCTTCAAGATCCAGCAGAGATACGATGAATTTTCCTTTGAGTGGTTCTTGATTCAAGGTGGTCCAGTTAGTGGTGTAGCCTTGGTCGCGGAACAGTAATTCAACATCACTCGCCCACTGGGACGGGGTAGGATTGCTTGTTAGCAGCCAGATATCGCTAGGGATGGAGATATCGTCCACCGGTCGTGACAACATGCTGACGTTTATGTGATACGGCGGCTTTTGATCATAAGCTGTCACATCGGTTCCAGTGAAACTGGCAGCTCGTAACTCCCGATCCCATCGCTCGGGTGAAATGTACGGTTGCTCTGCTCGGTCGTCATCCTCTCCGAGCCACCAGCCGGTAAATGGACCCTATAGGATATATAAGCGAAACGGACATTGTGTGCTACCAAAGGAAGGCACCTACCATGGTGAAATTTGGCATTAAAATTTCTATAGCATAGTCAGCTCAATGATTCAAGCTTGAGGTTCTTGACCTACCTGGGCTAGTGTCATGCAGTAAGAAGCGCCCGGTGGGCTTTAGAAGACAATGCACATGACAGAGTGACGAGTGAAGACTGGGGGTGGCGTGGAGAACCTGGTGGAGAAGGTGAGTTCAACGCTGTTGGAATGAGGCAATCTAGGTGCAGACTCACATTGGAAGCGATGATCAAGTCAAAGCTATGAGGGTCAAACCCTTGTTCAACAGGGTCCATGGTAATATCAAGGACTTTATATTCCATGCACTGCTCATGACTGAATCTCTCCATTGCCGCAGCCATAAAGCCGGAGGAGATGTCAGTAAAAACATACTGGCCATACATACGCTCTCCACTCGTAGACTTGAGAAGCTCCAGAGCCATTGCCGTTGCAGAGCCGGTACCTGCACCGATCTCAAGTACCCGTAGGCCAGGGTTGAAATGGCAGAGCAACGGTAGGAACGGCTTCCAATCGGCATACTGCGTGTGCGCGCCATGGAAGTTGTGCAGCAAGTTGTCCTTCATGAGGACCTCCAATGGGCTGCTTTCGCCAGACATAAACTGTCTGCAGTTATCGAAGACGACCCGCATGCAATCCGCAATTGGAGCATCAAAGCTAAATTTGGTCTCCGCTATCACCTTCTGTATCATTTCTTGTCTATCTCCCGAACTCAGCGACGCCCACTGAGATGACTCAGGGTAGATGGATCGTTGTCCATTTGCTTTCATGTTGAAAGCTGCGTCCTGGATGAATTTCTTCCACTTTGCGAAGTGTGGTGATATTGGGTCGACATCTCGAATTTGCTCTGCCGCCTCCAGAACAAAAAGCGCGGATAGCTGGCCCACGGCTTTAATATTCATGGCCTGTGATGTATAATCCTGCGGTGTAGACAGAAGAGCCGACGAAGGCAAAAAGTCAATGTCCGATTTCCACTCAAGATGGGTTACTGAGCCCGCGGCTCCAGTTCCGGAATCTATATTATCATTTTCCAAGGCGAAAAGGTAAGCTCCTTGAATAGAGAGGACCACCCGGTCATCAAGCATGGCAATGACATCCCCCAGTTGGCCATCCCTTGTACCGCTCTTGGTTCGGGCGCTTGCTGGCATAGGTGAACCCCCTGGTCCAATGAACAAGTGATTTATCATCGCTGGAACATAAATTGTGGTGAGATGCCGCGGCAAGCCCTGGGCACAGGCCACACCCATGAGTTGGAGACATTGATCAATCGCCGTGGGATGCAGCGAATACCTACTCCCAGGCAGTCCACGGTTACCCAGGACAGTCGCAGTTGCCCGTGGTCCAGTGGGATCGGCTGTGATCTGCTCCAGGCCCTGGAACTGAGGACCGTAATCTATCCCACTCCTTTGAAGCACTCGGTAAAGACCTTCAGATGGCACAGCTCGCTTATAGGAAGAGATTGGGAATGGCTCCGGAGGATGATCAAACCCTGGTCTTACTTGGCCTTGGCAATGCAGTGTCCATCGTTCTCCATCATGGACGATGATTTTGAAGCCGTACCAACCGGATGAGACTCTGTCAGCCACTTCGACCGGACTGAGGCTAGTCACCATTTCGATCTGATCTCCCTCGTGAAATAGCAGTGGCGTTACAAATGTCGTATTACGCACTGAATAACTGTCGTTCTCGGGATGCAGCTGCTGGACTGCCTCGCCTACCATCGCCACAAATCCAGCACCAGGGAATGTGACGGCCCCTTGGATTACATGATCCAAAAGCCAGGGCACATTGTCCAGGGTGACTAGATTGCGCCAAGAAGGCTCCTGGTCTGTGGTATCGACGACCCGTGAACCGAGGATTTCATGATGCGGAAACTTGCGCTGCCTCCACTCCCTACTCAGTCGACTCTCACTCCAGTAGGGGCGATCATGTTGCCAAGGATAAGGTGGGAGGTCTGTCAACGTGTTCCCCGGCTCGGTTATGCTTGGCAGATCAACTCGCATCCCACTTGCATAGGCCTGTCCTGCTGTTCTGAGTAGCTGGCTTTGGACATCCTCGTCATACCTAAACAAGGTGGGAATATAGACCGGTGACCTCGCTGGCAGAGTTCGGAAGAGTTGTCGCAGAGGGGCGGCAAGGGCTGAGTGTGGCCCAATTTCTAGGAAGACCGGGGTTCCACTAGCAGGTAGAGTTTGGATAGCCTCGGTGAACAGTACTGGCGATTCCAGATTCTGTCGCCAGTATGATGCATCTAGTTTGCGAGGGTCGGTGATCGTTTCGCCAGTCACGCTGGAGCAGAAAGGAAGCATTCCCTGCTCATGTTTAATATGGCTAGAGATACGACCTTCATATTCACAGCCAATCTTTTTCATGTGGTCTGCAAATAATGTAAGCGCAAAGGTACCAGATCAGGGTGAAGGGAAATCTACCAGAGTGATATGCAATTTTCACTGTAAGCCGCCGGCACAGTGTGTCTGAATTTGCCGCCTTAATTCTTTCGATCGCACGCTCCACCGAGTCTTTATCTCCTGATAGGGTCACACTATGTGGACTATTGTGGCAGGCAACAACCACCCCAGGTGTTAAGTACGGCGTCACTTCGTCCGGGGCAAGGCCAACGGCCACCATAGCGCCTAAGCCTTCCATCGGTTTTGCGACTTTGCCTCGATAATATGCTATAATGATAGCAGTTCTCATAGAAATGGCTCTGGCAGCATAGGCGGCCACAATCTCTCCGCTAGAATGCCCAACAACCGTGGATGGCTCAATTCCCCAGCCCCGAAGAATATTTACCAGTCCGATTTGGAGTGCAATACAGAGAGGCTGAGAGAACTCGGCTTCGTGAACCCGAGAATCTGAAGTCTCCTGCCTTAGTTCATCTGTCAGGTGCATTAGTCAAAATATTAACCCAACGTCAGGGGTAGGGCTCTGGATCTGACCATATAATAACCAATTCGGGCCATCAGGTAGCTGCTGGAGGGCTTCATCCATCCTTTTGATATCCTCCTTGAAATTTGGGAAGCTAGACAAAAGCCTTAGCCCCATTCCTGGCCATTGAGATCCCTGGCCCGTAAACACGAAGATCACATTTGAGGAACTAGTGTTAAAGATCGAGAACGCTGTATCATCTAGTATCGGGGTACTCGGCTGCACCACGGCGAAAGCCCGCTGGGAAAGATGAGATCTCCGCGCAGCCAAAGTGTATGAAAGGTCTTGGAGGCGGTCTGGGTGATTCTTTACATAGTCGGTAATCTGGTTAACGCGTTTGCGAAGAGTGTCTGCAGTGTGTGCAGACAGGACCAAGAGCTGTGGATTGGAAAGTCCAAGCGGTGTGGTTTGAGACTTCAAAGAGATGGTAGAGGCGGACTCCAGAATAGCGTGGGCATTAGATCCCCCAATACCGAACGAATTTACACTAATCCTTTCGGGTCTGCCAGCAGGCCACGGAGTGGGTTCTAGGGGCACGTGGAGATTTGCCTCTTTGAATGGAATTTGGGGATTCGGCGTCTTGAAGTGGTTATTGGGTGCGATCATCTTGTGTTCCAGTGACAAAACGGACTTGATGATGCTTGTGATACCTGAGGCACCCTCTGAGTGACCGACGTTTGGCTTCACCTGTGAAATGTACAACATAAGTAATATGCTTCGTTATAGGCAGCTCCGTGAGTAGATAATACTAACCGCAGTGATATATGTTGCATCTCCTTGGGTCATCTTTGCAACAACTGATGCTTCGATGACATCGCCGACAGCTGTTCCAGTCCCATGGCATTCGAAGACAGGTGTTTCGTGGACTGCATCAATTCCCGCAATCTGATATGCGTGCCGGATCAACTTTTCTTGAGATATAGGACAGGGTTGAGTGAGGATAGGGGTCTTGCCGTCATGGTTGCTCACTGTGGAGCGGATGACGGCGCGGATAGCGTCGTTGTCACGAAGCGCATCCCGCAATGGTTTGAGATATATGCAGTTGATCGCCTCGCCACGACCGTACCCATCTGCCTCAGCATCGAAGGTATGAGATATACCACTTGGTGATAGAACCATGTTTTTCGTCATGGCATCTGTCATGGTTGGGCTCCATATAAGGCTTGTCCCACTTACCAGAGCTGAGGAGCACTCTCCAGATCTGATGGCTTGACAGGCCTCGTGCAGGCATACTAGGGATGAAGAGCAAGCTGTTTGAATGGTCATGCTGCAAAGGGTTAGAGAATTTTGGCATAAAGACAGCGGCCCGCACTCACCTCGGACCCAAAAGATCAAACCGATAGGACACTTGGTTTGCTAACGCGAAACCACCGGTGCCGATGGGATATACCTGATTCAGATGCTGGGGGTCTTTATGCGATATCTCTAGCCAATCTTCACCAAAAACTCCAACAAAGCAACCGATATTTTTACCGCGCCACTTGGTCTCGCCCGAGTTCTCCAGACACTCCCAAACCACCTCTAGCAAGAGCCGTTGCTGGGGGTCCAGGCGCGCCGCCTCGTGGGGAGGAACAGAAAAGAAAGAAACGTCAAAACAAGCTGGATCTTCTTGCAAAAAGAACCCTTTTTTCATTCCGCTCAGATCTCCACAATCGGGCCTGCTGGATGCCTCTCTAGAGCAGCGCGAGGGAGGTGCTTCACAAAACCCATCTCGTCTCTTCACGAGCATTTCCCAAAATTCATCTCCACTTCGAACACCCCCCGGTAGCCGCATTGCCATACCAATGATAGCAATTGGCTCCCCAAAATCCTCCACGTGGTTTCTGCATGATGATTGTCCTTGTCCAGTTGTTGAGTTCATTTTTTGTCGAATGATGGATAGTTTGAGACTGGATCAAGATGGCTGCAGAGCAGACAAAAGAAAGGTTGAACTAGGGTTTGAGCTCTGATATCACAATGTATGGCCTTCTGACCATAAAATTCACGCGTAAGTTAGCGATTAGGCCAAATCTACACACAATATGTACCTACATATCCTGGTTTTGCAAGATCCAAGAAACACATTTCCTCCGAAATCCTCCGCTACCGGAGGAATCGTATGTACCTGAATGGCTCCTCGGTCATATCGCCGGAGCTGCAAAGAAGGGAAATGCGCAAGTTGTTCCAGCTTGCCCTCGGAAAACATGGCTTTCTCAATGTTGTTCAACACCACTTCAACCTAGAGCGGCGTATGTGTGACTGCAACCACAACTAGGCACCGAGCCGCTATCTATATATACTTATCATTTTATAGCAAGTATATCAAGAACCTTACATCAACGAATCAAACAAGCGGTCTTACAGGTGATGTTCTTGTTGGAGAACTTCAACTTACATCACAAAGCAAAGCTCAGCGTGAACATAGAATATATCAGCACATCAGGTAGTAGTTTATCATCACTAGATCTGGTACTACAAAGGCTAGAACAATCTGAAGGAAAACACGGCGCAAAGGAACCTACAACCCTCCGGATGTCCAACGCAATCTCCTACCCTCCGGGTGTTAAACGTAACCCACCCTCATACAGGTATTGGGTCTCTGATGTGGCACACAAAACGTACCTTGTGCTAGAGACACCGTGAGGCATGGCCGAGTACGACCCAGCATGCCTTTAGGGGTAATGCTTTAAGCCGATTAAGCCGTTGCATTCCGTTATTCGGAATTCAGAAGCAGTGTGGTGGTCTCGACTATTTGTTTCGATTTTACTCTGAGACAACGTGGATGGTACTTTATTTTCCTTGATGCAGAGCCGGTTGCTCATTCTTTGATTGGTATCAGTCGTTTAAGGGTGATACATTTCCCTAATCTGCTCAGCACTGAATGATCCAACGCCGGAAGTGGCCGTGAGAAACGAGGCCTAGAAGCAAATAATAATGTATTACTACTAGACGTTAGACTGTGGCTTACAAACATTGTTACAGATAAAGCAAGATATGGGTATAGATCTGGTCCATTAGTACTTTTATCCAGCCATCTGACCGACAACTACCCGGGAACATTGTCTGAGTGTCCCAGAAGATCTTGTTAGTACAACACCTTCTAGGTTGTGAACATACTCTTTATTTTCAACCCAGGAGCAGCGGACAATTTTCGATCAGAATGGACAGCGAATGGTTTCGAGGACAAGTCGTCTTCCTGACAGGGGCAACTGGGAATCTTGGCAGCTGTCTGTTATACAAGCTAGCCATTCAACTTCCAACCGCCAAAATATTTGTTCTCGTGCGGGGGTCTGTCCAAAGGGCTATCGAAGCATGGGAGCAGTCGATGCCAGAGCAAGTGGAAGAGATTATCGCTACTTGCAAGATCCAATTCTTCCTCGGTGACATGACCCAGCCTAACCTCGGTCTTTCACCCGAAAGCCTATCACGCCTGCAAAATGAGGCCACGGTGGTGGTCAACGCCGCTGGTGACATTGCTCTATCTCGAGATCTCGCAGAGACTATACCAGTCAATTGCGCTGCTCATCTGACACTGGCCTCCCTACTCGACAGCTTCACTCAGCTACAGCGCTTCCTACACATATCGACTACGTATGTCTCCAGCTTTCTCCCCAACGGGGTGGTCAAGGAGCAAATCTACCCTCTATACAAAGACCCGGTAGAGGAACTAGGGAAGATTCTCGTTACAGGAAAGTCATCCTATACCAAACAATTCGCAGCTCCCTACGCATTGGCCAAGCACCTAGCCGAATGTCTGCTTCTGGGCGGCAACCACAAATTCCCCATCCTCATAGTGCGACCCTGTCTCATATCACCGGCAATCGAGGAGCCCTACCCGCTCTACGGCAGCGACGGCGCCATACCCGTACATTCCTTCTTCCAGATACTCCTAGGAGACTCGGAGTATTGGTATCTGAAGCTCGAGCAGAAACTACCTTCACACGCAGCCTGCAATGAGATTCCAGTTGACCTCGTGGCACGTACTTGTCTGGCTCATGTTGCCCAAGGGACGACGGGTGTGGTCCACGCCAGCGCGGACCTGTACGTCTCTCGAACAATTGGGGGACTACTCGAGCGAGTGCGCCGCTACGCGCCAGAGGGAGCGGCGGAGCAGGTAAGAAAGATCGGGATTGGACAAGGAGAAGTTACGGCTCCTCAGTTTTACACCATGATCCAGCAATTCGCGCGGGACTGGAAGATTGACTGTACGCGATCTGCTCACCTGAAGCAGGTAGCGGGTCCACTGGGACTTGACCTTGGCAATCATGACCCAGAGATATTCTTTAAACTACGTATCGAGCGACTGGCCAAGAGTCTTCTGGCGAAGCTGGAAAGCGCTAGTGTGGCAAGCAACAAGGTCTATCCGACTATCTCTTGAAAGGTGATGACTGGGTTTTGTTGCAGTACCATCCACGGGCTCTTCAATGGTTTTTACTTGATGTACTAGAGTTAGCGCTTCTGCGGTACTTCTCTTGGCAACATATAGTTTGTGATGTCGAAGGCTCTTTCTCATAGTTACGCTAAGCCGATATACTTTTAAAGGAAAGAAACCAATACAGCGTATAATAGCGGCATGTACTTGCTAATTGGCCGAAATTCTGGCAAAATATATGCTTCACAATCTACCGAAAGTGTTTTTCAGCGTACTTTTGTCATGCTCCAGTTTAGTGATACCATGCGCAAGCAGCGTGAGAATGTTATACTCCGTGGAATCCGAGGCAATTTGTGTAACTATCTTGATGAGAGAATTGGGAAGTATCTGCATTCATATCCTTGTATATTGGATCATTTGAAAAATTGTATACAGTCGGTCACGGACAATAATCGACAGCACCGACGTCGCGGCTCCTCTTAAAATGTACCACATCTACAATCTGCTTCAGTGTTGTCGGCTCTAACAAGCTCCAAGTAGCATGAGCAAGCCATGCGAGATTTCTCCCTGGAGATCCTTGGCAGAGACTATAAGCTCTATCCATCTCAATCCTGTTCTTCGACACCCCCGGTCCATCATTGCCAAGAGTCCCGTAAGGCCTCAGCGCTTCAACCAACCGTTCATATCGCATGGTTTGAGACACTGACACGTATTCACAGGTACGTTGTTTTTCAACGCGTTGAATTCCTTTGAGCAACTCATAGACCTTGTGATGGGCCGACATGATAGCCCAGTTGCAACACCCCACAACAACCAATGCTCCCACCTCACTTGACTCAATCACATCAGCCGTTGTTTTAACATAGAAAGCCTGCTTTGGGACCAAGAAGGTTGGTGTCGGATACGACGTGTTTTCATACAGATACATATTTGACCCGAACGAAATATATCATACGGCCTTGGATTACTTCAACAAAGACGGAATAAATCAGAGATATTCATGTAGACTAGGATACCTGAGTAAAATGGATGCGAATGTTTTTATGACTAAGTTGCTTCGCTGGCGGGGAGGTCCTGAGCCTTCTAAGGTTGGCATTTTCCTTCGGACATTCTCCGCCTTTTTTTCCTCCTTCGACCCCAGAAATCCCCAGAAATCCCCAGAATCTGCAAACTCTGCCCATAAACATTCAACATGGGGGAACCAGCACCCCCATTACGTCCTGAATCAAGAATGCCAGACGCCTTCAACAGCGCCACCCCGCTTATCGAAGAAGAGGCATTCTTATCGCCGGGAACATTCTCCAGCGCAGACGACTACGCCGCCAACCCCAGGTTCCTTGAATTACAAGAAGAACTCCGCTGCGTTCTCTTTTCGGCAGTAGCAAGCCTCGAGCCAGCAAGCTACACATCCCCAGCTCCCTTAGAACCAACAGAAGGACCGCAGCCCCGACCCCCACGCCAAAGCTTAGATTTCACGCGGGTCGTCTCAATCCCAAAGATCAGACTAATCTTCTACCTGAAAAACTGGATAACAGAATGCGCGCCCTACCTGGATAAATTTGATGAGGCGCGCCATTTCGGCGTCCACATTCCAATCCTAGCACAAGGCTCACCAGCCCTGTTCTATGCAATCCTCGCCTTCTCCGCACGGCAAACAGAGCGAAAAGCCTGCCTGGACAAAGCCTACGATAGTCTCGAGCTGTACCAAGAGTCCATCCGCCTCCTGGCACCATTGCTCCAAGCAAAAGACCCCAACGTCCTCGTGACAGTGTGTATCCTGGCCGTGATGGAACTAATGTCCGTCAGCCCGCGCGACTGGCGACGGCATGTGGAAGGCTGCGCCGCGCTCTTCGACTCATTCAATGTGAACGGGCTGTCAGGTGGACATTTGCAAGCCGTGTTCTGGTGCTATGCGCGCATGGAGCTGTGCGGCGCAATCATCTCCAATGGCGCCGAGAGTACAGTCCTTCCCCTGGAGAAATGGGTTCCCGCCATGCCACAGGATTCTTCGAGGGAGGCACAGGAAGATATCGTCCGGGATTCGTTCTGCGAGAAGGGCCGTGCGTCCGCTGATATGCACGCTAATTGGGCGGTTTATCTGTGCGCGAAGGCTTGCGACCTCTGTTGTCGCCGAACACGGTTTTTGGAATTGGGTGAGGCGAGTGATGATACGCGCCCGTTCTCAGAACAGTGGAGCCGGCTTTGGGAAGAGCTGCAGTACTGGCTTGAGCAGCGCCCGCCTGCTATGCTGCCTATTAAGACTACAGGGATGGGCAGTGGGCAGATCTTTCCGGAGATTCTGTTTGCGCATTGGGCCGCTATTTCCGGGAATCAGTTGTACCATGCTGCATCTATTATGATGCTGGATATGAAGCCTGTTGAGAGGGGCCCGGCTCCCTCCAAGCCGCATTTTTCGGCCATCTGGCATGCTCGCAGGGTTTGTGGGATTTCGTTGACGAATCCTCATAGCGGGAATTTGATTAATGCTATTCAGCCGCTTTACATTGCGGGGAAGTTACTCAGCCATCATAGTGAACATGTTGAGGTTGCGAAGCTGTTCAAGATTATTGAGCGCACGACTGGGTGGGGTGCTTTGTGGCGACTGAAGGATCTTGAGAGAGCTTGGGGGTATGAACCCGGGGAGATCTCAGGTGTGATTTGAGGGATTTGGTACAAATGATACAGTTCCAATTCTGTTACGGCTCAGTCCCTTGCATTTGCTCCGACGAGATTGTGACCCTACAATGCTCGAACTCGCAGTTCAAAGACCGGCAAGCAAGATGCGAAACAACGGTCACACAAGTGATGAAATTGGTGGTATACACTGCAACAGATCAATACACCGATCCGAGGCCTCTCTCCGTGTTTCAAGCCAGTCTAAAGTACAGTCCAAAGTACTTGCGGCACAGGACAAAGTCCGTCCAAAAAAGCCCAAGTCGACCGGTCCTACTTCATCTCCGCAGAAGTCTTGGGATACTGCAGTGAATGCATGATGTGTGCTCCTTGCTTCTCAGCATGAACTTCAAATAAATAGTTCACCTGCTGAATACCCCGAGGCACAAGAGCCTGCTGGTACACATGGATGGTCCTATAGTTGGGAGTGCCATAGGAGGTATCTACATCCAGGGACGGAGTGGATTTTTTCCACTAACTCCTCGGTCGGGAACACCGGGTTAGCAACATTGCCGGCGACGGTAGTGTTGGGAAGTCAGCTGTCAAGGCGAAGTTGGAGGATTCGGCATCGACCATGAGGTTGAGCTATTGAAATTCATTCATGCCAGCGATAAAACGACCAAGCAATCTTGGAATCAACTCATTGAAAGATCATTCACATCCGACTGGTAGTCAGCCAGCGTAAGACCATAGGTCGCCTTCGGCATATTCAAATCAATGTATCCACCCATACTCATGAGATCCTTGGCAAGTGACGAAAACTGCGGATCCATGTGTGCAGCAAGCAGGATATTGGTCAATGCTCCAGTAGATGGATGCCTGCCCGGGATACTTGTGGAGACCCTGCACCATGAAGATCGCCGCCAAAGTCAAGTTCTCCGGTCGGCCTGCGGGGAAGCCTTGAAAGCCTCGTTGGCGATATGGCTCGCATCGCCCGAAGTCGGGTCGTTGCCCTCAGCTTCCAACTCTTATTATCCGGTGCAAATGCCCCCCTTCCATAGCAGCTTGCCTTGTATCGTCTCCTATGCCTAGAAACGGTTGAGCGTGTTGATTGGCTGCCATATCGCCCCTAGATAGACTAGAATGCGGCCTAGATCTCTGACCACCAGAGTTGCGACCTCATGAAGCGCCGTCTGGGGCTGCCAGCTGTTGACCGTGTCTAGGGTTTGATTAGAATTTCGTCATTGCAAAATAGCGCGAGGCCATCTGGTGTACAGTTCAATATCCCACCAGCGGCTAAGTCTAGAATTTCCGCATCGCTATCTCGGGCTACCGAGTACGGCACGTGCTACCGAATACAAATCATTTTCTATGATGGTGTAGTGTTTATTGTGGGTATATGGTACTGGAAGCCCGCTTGTGACAAAACGCGAACAGTGAGCTGCTATCTGCATAGGCCCAAGGAGGAAATGGGGCAAGTACGTATAATTGCATGGAGCACACCGTTATATCAACTTAATTCAACAGATGCCTCCACTATTTTGATAAAAATTTGAAATTCTATCTCAACCCCAGGTTCAGAACTTAGCTTGAACATCAATGTTTTGGCGTCAATATTTCCCAAGGGAAGACAGTGGCTCCGTTCCCCCAAAAAGGAACGGGTCACATCTCCACACCCAGGGTTTTTACTGAGACCGAGTTATATCCTAAGTCGGGCTAGCCCAGGCCCGAAGGACAAAACAGCAAACCGATTCATCCCGAGGATTTCCACTTCTTTCCCGTCTCCACTGTCGGAGCCATTCTAGGAGATTGGAGGCTACGTACCGCCGAAAAGGGTTTAGCGAGTCAGTTCCTCCACCATTTTGCCTCCACCAAAAAAAAAGGAAATTCGGGGTTCCGGGGTTGCTGGCCCATGAGACGTGGGCAGACGAGAAACTGGAGAACTTCAACTTCCCCATGTGAGGCCTTTTTTTTCTTTGCACGTGGTGCCACTCGGACTATGACAGAATTAAATTCGATCAATTCAATTCCAATGGATGTATATATTGAGACCCTCTTTCCCCCATGTTTTCAATTCCCCAGATTTCATCTCTTAGCGCTTGGAAACCCCCCTCCTTCTCCAATATTGCCCAACATGACTGAGGTGGAATCCATTCCGCGAGTCCAACTCGCGAAGAAATCCATGTGGCAGTCTATCTTCGAGAACCCCAAAGTCCTAGCCATTGCCTTCTTCGCCTCGTAAGAACCTCTCTTATTCAAACCTACGAACCAAATACTAACATCCCCAGATTTGGTGGCTTCGAATATGGCTACCAACAAGGTGTCCTCGGCCAGTCCCTGGTCATGACCCGCTTCACAGAAAACTTCCCAACAGTAGTAGCTTCGTCCACCGC